TTGAGCGACGGGAGCAAGAAAACATTAAAAATTTTGTTTTTTTATTTGAAATAGGAGCAATATTAAAGAGTCCAATGGGTCAACATTGTATTCTAACGGTGCATCAATGAACTAACCCGATCGAACATGTCTGTGGGTGCTTTATTTTGTTTGAAGGGGGCACTTTACGCGCACAAAAGAACCGGTTCGAATACTTAGGGTAGGTTTTGTAATGGTTTGTAGGTTTTTGGGTTTTGGGTTTATTCATTGTAGGCGAAGCAAGCTTAACATTGCATTTTGGAGCACATGCAATTTTGAAAAACATGAGAAAATTAAGAGATAGAAAATTATTCTGAGACCATGACGTAGTTAAATCGGAGTTTCGAGAGAATCCGGACTCCACAATAATTCTATCGAAACGCACTACCTGTTGTACGTGGAATAATAATCCGTTGTAAAGTATCCATCACGAAGGTTACCCGGAGAAGAGCCCTAGACCAAGGAGCTAGTACCGGCATTTTGGACATAGGCCGACATGTTTGTGGCGGCAGAGATAATGGCCATAGTGCGAGTAAATTTGTGAAATATCGTGGTTAACCAACACTTGCAATAACACAAAAACCAGTGAGAAAGAACGCTACTGCTAAAGAAGAAGAAGGTGTGTAGTCGATTGAATGTCGATGGTATAAATGCAGCGGTCCCGCTAGCTGTTTATATCTGCCGACTTAAAGTCTTGCGAACAAGAACCTTCTGGCTACGATTTAGTAATTGGCACAATGTTGCGACTTAAGTTAGATGGCCAATTTAAAAAAAGATCTTTGCTGTTATCTGATTTTCACTCACGCATATGGCCATATCACAATGACGACGGCGTTTTGTTTGGCGCTGTTTAATTAGGTTTCATAACGTCCACGGTACATTGTACTGATGCAGATTATTAACGGACAAAATAGCTGGAAAAAGATAAATTATTTGATCCTGGCCAGTTAAGATTTCAAAGCATCGCAATTTGCAGTGCAATAAATAGCCACTTTATGAGAAGCGTGTATTCCGTCTTCATACCGTACTTATTGCTTTACTTTTGTTTTTATTGTGCCGGTGCGTGCGTGTTTTTGTGTTGTGCGGGTTATGACTGGATGCCGAGGCAAACATGCCAGCAGTGATATTGATAAGTCGATAACAACGCAATATCCTGCAACAATAACAGCGCATGCGACGCACGCTTTCACAAATTAAATGTTTCCCGCAGGCCAATACGCTGCAACGCGCGACGCACACGAGATGGCTCGAGGTGAATATAGCGTAGTCTAACGTGGGAATGTGCATTAAAGTTGACTAAATGTACACATACGACCGGTATCAACAGGTAACAGAAACAATTACCGGGTATTAGCAAAGTTTTATTGATTGACATTAAGAGATTTGCCGTTAAGTATGCCGGCATCAGTTTATTTAATTGTCATTCATCAAGACTTTGCCAAAACTCCAGCCTTCCTTTCTGTCGGCTAATGTTGTCGATCGTAAGCTTAAGAGAGCGCTCACTCAGGTTTAATGGTTGTTCGCACTCTCCGTATGTGTACCCCTGGAGCCATCTCGTGTGCGCGAATCGTATAACGTTTCGCCTGCGGTAAACCATCGTGAATACATGCCTCGCACACGTTATTGTTATTGCGACAGGATATTGCGTTGTTATCACGTATTGGTATCACTTCTTCCGTATCCTTTTACCATTCGGCGCGTCTCTGGGCAACCTTCGCGATGGATACTACACCGCAGATTATTATTCTACGTACAACAAATAAGTTATCAGTTGTTCTTATTACTAGTTGATCTCGTTAGTTAATCTCAGTGCTTTCGTTGTTCGCTTATGCCAAAGATATTCCAATGTTGTTGTTATTTATTTGGTAATAAAATCCAATCAGAATATCCCTCGAGTTTTTCTAAGAACAGAAAATTAGTATTTTTTTAATGGCCATAACACTAATCCAAATAATATTCAGTCGTAGTTCCATTCTTATTACTTAATTGCTAACTGCCAGCGTAGCCAAAATGAACTGTTTTTATTAAGATAAATGTCGATAAAAAAATTCCAGGCTGTCTTTGCGGTTCAGGACTGCCACGCTTAATCGCCTAACAGAAAATACTGCAGCAACTACACCGGTAAAACCTAATTGCCTATCCGAATGCCGCAACCTGTTAACGTAAGAGTAGGACATCCTTTTGCCGATTCAGAAGAAGTGGTTTGTATGAAGATAAAAAAGCTCAGAACCATATTAAGCCGCAAGAACTTCATGTCGCTGGGGCCGTTCCTGCATTAGCTGACGTCATGGCATGGTATTGTACAATACATGTAATTGTATACGGTATTGTATACGTCTCCTACAACGTGCATGCATTGCGAGAAACGTTTGCTAACCAGTATTAAATTCCATCATTTGTATATTATGATCATGAGCTACAACGGTCATTGCCATGCAGTAATTACGTTGCAATTGTGAGATGCCGCTTTGAACAGATTGGTTTTGCACAATGCCGGTAGTAACTTAGGATACTACGTACCTTCTAAGCGTCAATGAATGACATTCAGACAACGGAAACGATATTGGTGGCAATTACAGATAAGTACTAACAATAGGCCGTTGTATCATTACGATCGTTAGTTTGTATTGCACGTAATTTTGCCCCAAGGAACTGTCTGGTTATAAGGACAGTCTGTCAACTACAAAACGAAAGTTCACGGACCACATAAAACAATTAAAGCACTTCGCTAGACTGATAATTCACCTAGAGCCATCGCGTGTGCGTCGCGCGATTCCTGAACCGTTTCGCCTCCGGTAAGTACTAAATTCTTTATTATAGCGTATTAGCGTACATAAAATTTTGTTGTTGTTTCAGGATATTGCGCAGTCATCACTCATCAGTATGTTTTCTTTATCACTGCCATCTTGCCTAGGCTCCAGGTTATAACACAGCCGAGAGAAGCATGTGAAAAATACAAAATACAATTTTGTAATACAAGGCAGTGTTTTTGTAATGTTATGCTTAATACTCGTAGCATACAATGGAACTGGAAAAATTACTACATTGTTTTTATAAGCGGTGCAAGCCATATTATTTAATTAGCGATAAACTCATAAAAAGTTAGCGGCACACCAGGCATAATATGTATATATTAATAAGCACCTTTATCACGATAACACCTAATTTCTCAGCACGAACTCTTCACGAAGGTACTTATGGTTAGCTATTTCATTTTATGCCTACTCTGTACCGCAGCTGCGGCAACATCGTGCCGTTATGAAATCCGAATACAACGGTGTCAACTGTCAAGCAAAGCGCCGGCGTCATTTTGATGCCGTTTGATTGACAATCAGATAACGGCAAGGATCTTTTGTCAATTAGGCACTTAATATTAGTCGTAATTTGTGAAAATTTTTAATTGTAGCCTGGAGGTTCTAGTACGCAAGACTTTAGGTCTGCTGATATAAACAGGGGACAGGACAGTTTCAGTCATTATTCAGTTAAATGAGAAATTTGTCTTGCGAAACCAACTCAATGCTAAGTTTTCTCCTATCGCAGTAACGTGGTTTTACATTGGATTTCCCACTGTTTAGCAGTGTCGGTTTCTCCACACTAGTCTGAATTGCATTACCGCGGTCACACAATGGCCAACGTCTTTGCAACCACAAGCAAGCTGGGTTGTGCCGGAAATGACGGCCAGAACGTCAACGTATTTGGCGCTTCTGCAGTCAATCTTCGAGATGGTTATTACACCGCGGATTATTATTCCACTTACAACAAGTAGATTGCTCAGATACTGCATGATCTACAGTATATCAACTGGATCCTTTGCTTGTTTGCTTGTGTGTAGTTATTTGGGCACCTTGATTTTGTTGAATCATGATCTCTTAACTTGGTCTCGATGTTTCGATTTCTACTTATGTTCCTGAAAACTTGTAGTTTGTTATGGCTGCAATTATTAATAAAAAAACCAGAAAATCTCTGCCGCTGTTTTTCGATTGGATAATCCTTGTATTATACAGTAGACAAGCACCAAAACACGAATTACTCTTAATATTCTATATTCTTGCTCTTAATATTCGCGACTGCTCCTGATATTCTGTTTCTTCATTACGGCATTTGTATGAGTGGCTATTGCGAGGAGTCAATGAAAAATTTCGTGGTACGGTTGTCGACTATTTCGCAAATTTTACTTTTGCTGCATAAGGTGTAACGTTACTTTGTAATGATCTCACAAAACTGGGCAACTGTTCAAATTTTTTTTGCTTCCACGGGAACTTTCGGATCGGATGTAGCAACTTAATGGCTTCCTGAGTGGCTGCTATATGCGGGCCGACTGATCTCAACACTTCCGTATTCAGCAAAGCTGGTTTACAATTCCCATGCTTGGAATCTAACGCAAAATTTTTGAAAAATGTATCTTTAACAAATATTTTGACCGCAGAAGTGTGCATACATCCTAATCAAGATTTAACTCAATAAATGTGCGTCTCGGGTCCATATCTTTTTGACCTGCAAACCTTGTGCGCACAATCTACATGCAGCGTTCAGGTCAGCCGTCTATGTTTAATAGTGTATCATTGCGTACAGTATGTATTGTATCGTACAATGCACATTGCACACTTAAAGTAGACGGTACCTGATACTGTACATCATGCAACAGTGCGTGCAGCAGCGCAACTTTCAATCGATAATACCACACGACCCTTCCGCTACATGCTCATTCCTTCCGCTGCAAGTAGTGTATTGTGAAGATGGATCGGCGAGTACATGACTGAGGCACGGATGAACGTGTTATCCGCAATGTCACTGGCCAACATGATCCCACTAGAGATGAGTGGCGCAGTGACCAACATTTCGATCGACAGAGCTTTATATCTGATAATTTGCTTAATGTAAACCAACATTCATTTGTCAGGCCATGCTTATCTCATCGCGTACAGGTTTTTACATTTTTTGGCCGCAGTGCTTGCTTAAAATGCTTTACCAATTCCTCATGGCAGATTATGTATGGTATTATGGTCGATTAGCCTGACGTCTATCTTCAAAGTAATACGAGTATCTCGTATAATAGTACATACTACATACTGTACAGTGTACAATTGTTCAGTCCTACGTGTTTCAAAGCATTTCCACCAGCGGTCCCTTTAGCTGTACCACATTATGGAACTGGGTTTGTTACCACGGGTTAGCAGGCATCCGCTGATCGCTGGCACGTACGATCGCTTTATTGTGGATATCCTGGGCGATAATGCAACGTATCGTGGATACGTTTGTGGGGTTGATAGTGATCACTGCATGGTGCGAGTTGGTGCCATGCAGCAGTTACAGCGCATTCCTATGGGTAAACTGTACTTACCGGATCCGGAAGAAGCGGTCATGGTTCCTCCAGATGGCCTTATAGAAAAAGACATTGAAGTCTTGGTCAGTGTGAACGAAAACGAGCCTGAATCCTGGCAACCAGTATCTTCTCTTGATGGAAAGTCCAATAAATCGTTCCTACTGGGAACCGTCAAAGTGCATCGACCAGATAACATGGTCAAATTTTACCGCGTGCTGGATGGTGGCGGTCGTGCTTTCAGGTGTCTTCGTTACGAGAAAAGTCGAGGACCCCCCGTCACACCGCAGTTATTTCGCCAGGTGCAAATTCCGCTCTCCGAAATCACTTCACCCTGTTTAACAGACCAGGTGTTTCGCGATTTTGGAGATTATTTCCAGAAAAACGCCCCCTTTACTGATAGCACTGCCGGCATTTTGGAACGAATTCGAGAATTTTCTTTCTTTCAAAGTCTTTTTGTGAAAAAGAGTCGGGACTTCATGTTTCTTGGAATTTTGAACGGCTGCATTGACATACTGGTTTCTCAGGTCAAGCGCAGTTACACAGACTACGACATTCCCCGCCTTATAGTTATTCAGGATAGGTTTTTTAAAAGGTTTAAACCATCGACAGCCGTAAATAAAGCCGTGCGCTGCGTTCTGGAAGAAATACTGACCATTGTTCCGGCTCAGCATGGTAAATTGGTAATCACAGCAAAGTTTTAAAAGGTTTTTTTATTAATACGAGTAAGAAAAGCATGGCTAAATGTTAATATAAAAAATTTTCGCTATGATAAATTCAATGGTGTAGTGGAGACTGTGGAGTTATATTTCGCAACACTCCACGAACCTGCTGGCTTTTTCAGAATCCAAAGACCCAAACGACGTCCGCTTTGACGATTTATACGCGGAGCTTATTCTGATGATCTTCGCTTATCTGGAAGTTTACGACCAGCACCAACTTCGCAGGTAGTATATGAACGACGTAATTAATATACTAATTCTTGGTTAAAATAATTAAATCTCATTGTGTGTTTTACGTACTTACTTAAATACATGTTGCAACGTTGCAGTAGCAGCACTGAGTGTTCCAGTAAAACCGTAATACATAAAACATTTTTCAGTTTTTTCGTATAAACAGGTACAAGTACAGGTTAGTCGTTGCTGTTTCCTCTGTTGTTGACATTGTCCATAAAAAATGTTGATTTTGTTGTTAACCAATAACGAACGTTAACACACATTGTTTTAGGACGTGCAATATATTCTGTCACTTGCTATTTTCGGATGCCATACAACAATCCGTAATACTGCCTTACAATCCCGATCATATCACGGAAGTTTTGAGTATATATACGTCGCGTGGAGAGGACTGCGAAATGGCATACAAAATCGGGAATTCTGTTACCAAGAATACCAAAGTCTTGTACTTTGTCGGTGACAGGAAAGAGCGCCTGCGTATCCTATATGTTCTGAAGGCGTTTGACATGAAACTTGATTGGCTAGTCATTGCCAACAACACCACACTCTTGCTAAATGAATTCCTGCCATTTCCGGATCCCGAGTACATGTTGTTTACTAAGGAAGATAACTATGGTAATACCAAGAGGAATTATTCGTGGCCGAACGGCTATACGATGCGACTTGATTTCGATTTGGTTTGTCGCAATTTCATGCTGAAGAATTGCTGCTTTAATAGCAAATTATCCATGTGCTTCCTAGTGATTGTGTCGTTTTGGGAAGCCGGCGTAATGCGGGAGTTTCGCGCTGGTCGTTCATCCCTCAGATGTTGCAAGGACCCGTTTTTTATCACGATACTAAACTGGCATTACAGCTTTACGGAATCAGTTCAGCCTAAGTTCGAGACTGCTTTCCAGACGGCTCTCGAGAAATTTTGTCCAGAAATGGAAAACAATAAATTCGAAAATCTTGTCCAATGGCTGGATTCCCTTACAGACGAAGATTTGGATCCGAAAAATTACATTTGGCCGTTTATTTTGCTGATCTATGGGCTGTAAGCTGTATGTACAGAAACCAGGAATTAGACCAAACTATTCATAAATTTTACAGGTGGAATGAGGAACTCCCAAAATGCCTGGCAGACGTCAAAAGAGACATTTCCACCAAGTTTCCTCGGAGAAGTCTGATGGTGCAGACGTTGGCTTTGCTATTTCCCTGCAATCCCGGGATGTTTGGCAACGTAGCTGATACGGCGACCAAGTGCAAAGATTTACCAAGCCAATCCGATCCAATCCAATCCAGGAATTTATGCGAGCTGTAATATTATCCGAATAACGACATTTTCATACATAAACTAAGCAATAGCTGCTTCATCTTGCTCTGAAACCATACTTATAGTGATAAAATAATATGCAAGACGGCCATCATCCGGTATTACTCAGCTAGCCGGCGGCCGGTAGGAAAGTTAGTATAACTATGGCATAATCAACCGGAGGCTGGCATAAGGTCCTCTAATTCAAGAGAAGTGGAGAACTATCTATTTGTCAGTAAAGAACGTACATGACACTTCCTTGTTACGTCAACACTTCCTCATCACAGCATCGTTTAAAGGCGGCAATACGTAAGGTAAAATACGGTACATCAGGGCCATGCTCAGCCACAATGTAACACGTCAGCTGGGTGACACATTTCCCATTCCCATAAACACATTTCCCATAACAAACAAGCAGGAAGATAAAATCACAGATTTGCTTGTAATGAACAATCCTCTAAGGACAATAGACACTGTATGGAGCAGTAACACGTCCGGGAACGGGTAATACAAAAAGGAATCAGGCGTTTACCCCACGAAAAATATTCCGCGGAATACTGGTGCTTCGCAGGGTAACAATTTTTTGGGGTAACTAATTCTTCATTTGTTGTAGATGGTATAATAGTCCACAGATGGTATAATAGTCCGCAGTCGATAAGTGCCCAAGATGGATTCAATCCATCTTGGGCACTTATCGACTGCGAGCCAGCACCGGAAACCATATTGTCGTTATTTATGTTACAGGCCATTTTTCGTTTTGTCTTGCGAATCGAAATAGCGACTGCAGAAAAGAAAATTTAGTTGCAGGTTCAGAGTTTAGATTAATCGAAACTTAGTTGCAGGTTCAGGGTTTAGACTAATCGAAACTGTAAAACAAAGGGCAGTTTCAGCCAAAAGATATTGAAATTTCGGTTGCAGTGAACTGGGATGAACAGATTGACTTCCCGCTCACTTATGTACTGTAGAAAATAGCTTCTGCAACTCATCGTTGCCTGAGGGCTCGTGATCGTCACACATTTGTACGTTACGTTTGAACTTGATCGACAAAACGGCATTATGACATCCTCTGACCCAATTGTACACTCATTTTAATGGCTTCACCAACGTGTGAAAGCGCTTGTTTTACAATTGCTTTGCTGGAAGTTACAAATTTAGTGCAACCCATGCAGACGTAACGGCAGTCGCGGTTCCCGGTACATTACCTGGACACGAGAGAGCGAGTGCGGAGCCCGCGGGCACTGCGCAAGCGTACCAAGTTCATTACCGCTTACTGAGTTACTCGCCTCTGTCGTGCATGCGATCAGATAAGCGGTTTTCACAGTCCAAAGTAAACTTGTTGTTGAACACAATAATTTTCCGAACGCATAGGGGTATTTTTCACACGCTTTGTGGATTCTCGCGAGGGTCTACAGTACAAGTTTTGAAATAGTACAATGTAATAAAAAATTGTTTTGTAGCCGCTAGATGGAACTGCACTACAGAGTTTGGTACACGGAAACTGCGCACACGCAGCTGGATGTTCTATTTAACGTGTGTGATGGCAGGATGCAGGCAGCGACCGAATCTGAAATTGGTACAACCTCATCTAGCGGCCACAGTAAAACAAAGTACGGTGCAGTACTGCATTTGTTTTCCGGAACATAATTTTTCCCGCCAGGGAAAGATTGCCTGCCATTACAGCTGCCTTTACAGTAGCTGCCGAAAATTCTGGTAAATCGTCGTATTCAATATGCGACCGTGCTCGAGCGCTGCGGGCTTACACATTGTTTCTTCTATTTGTATCTGGAGCTAGAATCGCAGTGATGACAGTCAACATCCTGTGTAGCGAGGTTTTCGCATTTACAATAAGGTACGGACAGTGTACGGGAGATAATACAATTTAGATACTGCATTTATAGAAGCTCAGAAGGTTTTAGAAATGCGGGAACCATCAAACTTTTATGCGCTAAAGCGACTCTAGAATAGAGAAAAGTCAAGATCGTCCTAACATAACAGCAATATTAACGCCTATGCATTCATGACTGCTGAGTACAGAGTGCCTTGAATAACAATTTCTAAAAAGGATAAAGGATGAAAAAAAAGCTCGCTAAATCGATTTTATATTTAACTTCAGTCGGAAGAGGCCGGTTTCTCCGCACGAAATAAAATTCTGCTAGCAATTGGAGTGCCAGGGGCGCTATGGTCAACAGCATGTCTTGGAGCCGCGCTGTATGCACAGGAGATACTGCGGTTTATAACGAACTGCCGTCGAAACCCGTTTCCAATGCTGCCCGGTGAGGTAATCTTGTCATCCTGTTCGCGACTTCGTGTCATGTGCCGGAACGCTCTGGATAATGTCAGACGCATTACGATCGCTCCCTATCTGGACATCCTTTTTCAAATCTACCTTCTCTCGAGGGATGATCTTGATTGCAGTTTGGTGTCCAAGTTTACTTTTGTGTTGCCAATGCTGCTGGTTGATGGCGTAATGTGCATCATTATACGTTGCTGCGCGAAGGCCGCCGGTTGCCTGCTTTGGGATATTGAACGTCTAACCGCGGCCGTTGAGGGGCAACCGCCAGTGGCGGAACAACATGACGAAGATAATGGCGGAAGAACAACATGACGAAGATATTGACTAGAAAGTAGACTTATAGTAACTAGACCGCATAATATATTAATCTACGGGACTGCTTTTTGTTGGTATGATTGAGCTCGTAATTCCGTTTTCAGTGCTAATTTTGCCTGCTACAAGGAATACTGCTGAACAGAGTCATCACGAAGCGTATAACTGGGAGTTTCATCCGGGGCCTCCACGTAGCCAAGTTAGCTAACGGTTCTTCCATTTCCATACTTTCTTCGTGAAATGTTTTAAGTACTCATATTCTACTGTTGCTTTGATGTCAAGATTTTTTCACGCTTGCAAAGCGTTGCCGCTAGCCGCATCCCACCAAATCAAAACGGCAGCGCAGTCAGGACTGTTAAGCTACTGTCCTAACTGCTAATTCGGCTTCGCAAGTTACAGCAACCAAACGAGCCGATCCCGATGCGGCTTTGCTAGCTGCTGTTTGCTGTAATTAATTAAAGCCAAACCATCAATATGTCGCAGTTATTTAACAAAAGCGAAATTTTTTTATCCAGTTGATCCTCGCTGTGAGGCATTTCTCAGATCGAACATAACACGTATACCGGGAAGTACTTTCAAAGTATTTACCATACAGAAATAAACCGCAAGGTGCCCAGATATTATAATAATTTTATCTGATGTGCATATCTGACAATGTTAATAATAGTATTCGTATTAAGGGTGGAATCTGATATTTCTGCAATTGTACGGAATTATTCACCGCATCCTGTTGCGCAAGTAGTAACGTACTCGTATTATTATATGGTGATTGCGACCGTCGGTTGTACGCTATTTATAAAATATAAGAAGCAACGCAACTGTGCAGTGTACTACGAAACGAATAAAAATTAATGCTTTGCAAGTTTATTGCTGTGCCGGCAAGGCAATACTTAATGATGAAAGCAATACGAGGTTGTTGTTACCATAACTGCGCTGCGGTTCTCGTTCTGTTTTATTGTGGATATTGTTTTCTGTACGAGCATTTTTAATTAATGTTAATCAAACACAAGCTAGAAACACTGGTCTGGAGAGTGTAGTGGCAGTCGGAAGCTATCGATTTTGTGGGTCTAGATCTAATATAAACTTGCATTTGACACAAGTTGCGGGAACTCGAAATGCAACTAATCGGACTCTACCGGAGCTACTTGCTATCTAAGAACGTTTCATCCGCAGGGACACCTGCGAAGCAGCGATGGTTTCCGTTTTCGGTAAACATTGTGGCAAACCTACCAGCTGGAAACGGAGAAACATGTCTGTTGTTGGTCTGCTTTAGAAACAGAAACCTGATCGCAGTGCCATAATGCCAACGCAAACTCAGTGACGTCCGCTGCTGTTGTACCGATGCAGCTACGCAAACAAGCATCGGACGTTAACATAGCATCGAGTTTCTCGCTCAGCGGCTTTCTTTTCTACTCTCATAACATCCGCGTTTGTGCTGTAAACGAGCACTTCAGATGCAAAATCCATATAAAATAGCATGCTTTTACAGGTGACCTTTCCGATATTCGCAACAGTGAACTGCAATTGTAGTACGATTTAGTATAGCAGCCCATGGACATGACGTAATTAAGGGATTCGGCTAGCCGGTCATCATTCAGACATGATTAACTCGAGCGCATTCCAAAATGAATTCGAGTTTGGCGTTTTTATTCGAGATCAACGACACGGTGACACACCGAATATCGTAGCTGAGGGAATACAGAAACGTGCACGAAGGTTCGCCAGATGCACACGGCTTCTTCTGCTTTCATCGGGAGCCAGGATCGCAATGCTGATCATAATATTTCTGTGGACCAACATTTATGAATTCCCACATAAGGTAGTAAAAGATTTTACGAGTAATAACGTAAAGATGGTACTGGATGTTTCGGTAATACCTTACAACCTAAAAGGTTGTAAGGTATTACCGAATCAGTAGTGTCTGATTATAGCCGTGATAATTATGAATCGAAATAAAGAGGGAATTAATTTGGGAGAACAGCAAAATTAATACAATCCTAAAACTTAACTTTGCCTTACTTGCTCGTCCAGTGTGCGGAATCTTTTCAGTCGGAAGAGTACGGTTCGACCAAACGCAAGAAATTGCTTTTAACAATTGGGATACTGGAGTTGCTGTGTGTCATAGCTTGCCTTCGGGCTGTACTGGATGCGCGAGCAATTGTGCGAATGACAGGACGTCCCGGACCCGGTGACAAGTTTGCATTGTGGTGGGGAGAAAAACTCTCACTCAGGTGTTCGGACTTACGTGACCGGTGCCGAGGTGTGCGGAATAATGTCGAGAATATTTGTTACGCCCCATTCTCTGACAGCTTTTTCCATTTCCTTCTTTACTTTTGTGAAATTGGTAACGACAGTGGTTACGGTTTGTATTCAAAGCTCACGTATGTGGTTCCGATTCCAAATCTGCTGTATGACATCGCGACGTTTATCGTCCTGCATCGCTGCTTCAAGGCCGCGGACCGCTTACTTCTTGAAATCGACCATTTGGAAGATGTCACTAACATATACCGCCGCCAGCTACGGAGAAGCGAATGTCACTGACGAAGGAAATACAGACCGTACCTAATGAAAACTATTC